CACTAACTGGTAGTTAATATTTTAACTAATAGACAGTATAAGTGATCCATCCCTAGATAAGTAATGGTCGAGTGGTGAAAAAACCGATGCATCAGGAATGCCGATAATGACACTACATTGGATTTAAACCAGAAAGTCAGTTTGGATAGACGATGTAGTCCTGTTCGTATATATTGACTTTCAGTGATATCGGTGCCAGTAGAATAATTCAAGGGACAGGGTTAAAATTACTGCAATTAGTGTAACGACCGGAATCCCAGTGTTCCGTCTGAATGCTAAACCAACGAACTAAGGTAAATCCGATTATGCCAAACTACGTTCCTCTGTATGGCGCACGAAGCGTCTTGGTGAGTACCAATAAAAAATCAACAGCGGTATGATGATTATTTATCGCCTTGCAACGCGAGATAACACGAAACCAGCAGGTGTTTTCGGGATTGGCTTCTAGTAAGGATATCCATCCTTACTTCATCTAACAGTGAACGCAACAATTCATCACCTAACTCGCTCTTTATGATAATCAGTGAGCATATAGTTAATGTGACCTCGACTCGCTAACGTTATAACAAGATATCGACATCCACTGACATAAATTTGACTTAGTAGTTTGAGATTCAACAAATGACTTGACCAACTCCAGAAAACTGGCATTGGGGACAATATGGTTATTGTTTATTTATTGGATATTTTAAATATAGTGGGGATCGGCTAATGGCTGTGTTTTCGATGACACATCTTATATTAACACCACTTATATCATGCGTTAACGTTCTAAACGTGCAAATCTGAATAGTTGTCATATTCTATAAGTCATAAACGCGCAGTAAGAGGGATGCTTCACGAATATTCTTGTACACAAGTTACGTCAGCCCATCGACTGTTGTCCTCAAGTATCAGTATTTAGGCACACGAGAACACAATCAATTGCGAGAAAATATACAGTTTATTTATAGCTCTGAAAAATAGAGTCAGTCACTGTCGTCGGATGATGATTCTTCAGCTCCCGTATCCTGACTGTAACGGAAAAGAACAAGAGCAAGATAACCATACTAGTAGAATACAATCAGAAAGAAATGTCATCAATATGAGCAGACATATGCTTGTTCATCATTAACGATATTAGTGAAACTCACCCGTCGTGATCGTTCAAATTTTTGCTGAAATGTAAGAAAAAACCCGACTTAGTTCGGATGGATAAAAAACGAAGCGACATTCAGATAATAGCGTCATCAATTGAAACAGACATATGCTTGATCATCATAGCCATTGTATTCTAAACGTACCTTGTCATTTCATCGTCACTTGAGTCGGAAGGATTTGGTGCTTTAATTCGCCGTCTATCAAAAATATCGAAGATAAATAGTGAACTTACGTTACAGCTTCCCCAGCCTCACTTACTTCCATTTTGGTTTTGGATCTGAAGTACGCGTTATCAAACATTGACCACTTACCCAACAGAGTTCGGGTTATTTGTCACACCGTCAGATTTGGCAAACTTTTTAAGTAAACCTTGGGCAACAAGTTTTTTCCTTTCCATGGAAACAGGACCACGACCCCACTGGCGAGGATAGAGATCACGCTCCATTATTACTCTTTTCAGTTTTGCGACTAATCCATGGTCACACGTCGCGATTGTTGCAGTAGTCATTAGTGCGACAGCTTGAAGTTAATGTTAGTCTGAAACGACCTACCAAGAGCTACGGCTTCGCCTTTGGTAGTCATCAAGACTATTTCATCGTTGACATTGATGTCGTTGTCGTAACGGAGTACGCCAGGCAACATAAGTTTCGCACCGAAGCAAATAGCGCACACCTAATCTACACATGCTTCTATACGTAAAGGAACTTACGGCAGTATCCTTAAGCATAATTCGTTTGTGCTTGATTAGCAGCTTTTCAAGAGGCATTATAACACGACGCAAATAAGTCTCATCTCGCCTATTGTCATAAAGCCACTTGGCATCTAGTATGTCATGCATAGTGACCAGGTTGTCCTGCAATATGAAGGACTTTGATTGGACATACCCTTTCAGACATAAAACCAGTTTTCGACCGCCTAAGTTCCTCCATAACACCTCCACAACCTAGAAGCAAGCCCAAATGCACGCAAAGCGTCCGAACATACGTTCCAGCCTCACAGCGCACCATTATTAACCCTAAATTTAGTGTTGCAGGATCACAAGACTTACCCAAATTTTTACTTTTTTCATACTCTAACAGTTTACACTCGTATATTGTACGAACTCTGAGTTGGCGCTTAACAGCAGCAACTAGTGGGGGTCTCTGGAATAATGCTCCAGTTAGCCCTTCTACAGCCTATAGACGAACAATAAGGGACAAAGGTCAGTCTTGCGTCAACCGAGATGCAAAAATGCTGACAAGTTTAGAAACCGCTTACTTTTTGTATTTTTTTGATCTCGTCCACGGACTCGTGAAGTCTAAATATACACACATACTCCTTACCAGCACTTTGCTGAGACTTCACTAGCCTAGTAGCACGGTCGATACAGACAATAAGACAGCCTGAGCCACTAAGAGTGAAATTGCCATACCTGAAACTTTGGGATCTAAAGTGCCACTATGACCAGTTTTGTTGACTCCAAGGGCCCGTTTCACCCACGCAACAACTTCATGCGACGATGGGTTGCATGGCTTGTCGAGGTTGATAACTCCACTCCTTAAAAGTTAGAGAGATGGTTCAGACAAACTTGATGTATTCATCCAGAGGTCTGTGTAAAGGAGAGTAACCTGTTGTATCGGCCTCAAAATGGCACTCGCGTACGTTCATAAGATGAACATTCTGAGTCTGAGGGGTGGTTATGAAATACCTACTTTTAACAATAATGGCCATTGGCTGCAATCCAAAGTAGGTTTCTTGTCCTCTGAAATTACCGCAAAGGACTCAGATGCCTGAATAGCCTGAAATAAATTAACAAGTAAGCAGAGACAAGAACTTACTCCCACATCACCAGCTCTAACTTTGTGTTTCTTCATTACCAGTGTCACGCGGAATGAACAAGCACGCCGTCAAGGTCTAACAGCTTTATGAATGCGTATAAACAAACAACTTCTTCAGTATTTAACAGCAAATAACCACTATTTTCCATCACCCAAAAAAAGTTTTCGTTCTATGAACGAAATGATATTCTTGCTAATATCATTGCTCGTGTATGTTTACCTAAGCGATTACGTGATCATCTCGATGGAAGACTTTCATCAATGTTCTGTTTCCCAAAATGATTTACTAAGAAAAGAAGGGTCACTTAAGGCTTCACCTTTGACATGCTTCTTTTCTGAGTCACACATACGTCAATGGATTAAGCGATATTGGCAGTCTAACGTGATGTCACGACGGTAATTCATAGCTGATATACTTGGTCATGATACATAGAAATATTCATCCACATAATTCTCATTTATTATTGGTCTGAGCGGTCCATATCCAGACCAACTTGTATGACTTACAACCATATTATAGTCAATTTATCACACCGGCTCTGCATGACATCATTAAACAGTAACCTTGTAATTACCCATGGTTGTAACCATGTTGAAGCATCTAGAAAATTGTTTTGTTAGCGTAGCATATCACAAGAGAACAGATATCAGAAGGAAGTCCATAATGTAAAATGAAGTGGAATGCACGTATAGTTGACCATATAATGCGATAGGCTTTCTGTTTGCCACCTGTAAGTTTGAAACCGATTCGTGAAGTCGTTCGTCAAAATTCGTTGAAGAACTCCAACTTCTGCACCCGTATCAACAGGTTAGCGAATTTACGTTATCAAATATGTGACGTATAACAGACGGTTGTGTTCGCCGTTAACGCCTTTGTATTTAAAGTTTATGTCACACTCTAGAGTAGACTTCTAATAGTTTTGGAGGTTAGGACCCTAGCTACATGCCTCATGATGATTACGTGATCATCTCGATGGAAGACTTTCATCAATGTTCTGTTTCCCAAAATGATTTACTAAGAAAAGAAGGGTCACTTAAGGCTTCACCTTTGACATGCTTCTTTTCTGAGTCACACATACTTCATGATTTGTGTGGACACTGTTACACCATAAATCGTCCCTCATCCGAGATCCACTTCACGTGATATTCTTCGTCCCAATTTTTATCACCATTCTACAGCCAGTGAATCATATCATCATGAGGCTTGTAGCTAGGGTCCTAACCTCCAAAACTATTAGAAGTCTACTCTAGAGTGTGACATAAACTTTAAATACAAAGGCGTTAACGGCGAACACAACCGTCTGTTATACGTCACATATTTGATAACGTAAATTCGCTAACCTGTTGATACGGGTGCAGAAGTTGGAGTTCTTCAACGAATTTTGACGAACGACTTCACGAATCGGTTTCAAACTTACAGGTGGCAAACAGAAAGCCTATCGCATTATATGGTCAACTATACGTGCATTCCACTTCATTTTACATTATGGACTTCCTTCTGATATCTGTTCTCTTGTGATATGCTACGCTAACAAAACAATTTTCTAGATGCTTCAACATGGTTACAACCATGGGTAATTACAAGGTTACTGTTTAATGATGTCATGCAGAGCCGGTGTGATAAATTGACTATAATATGTTTGTAAGTCATACAAGTTGGTCTGGATATGGACCGCTCAGACCAATAATAAATGAGAATTATGTGGATGAATATTTCTATGTATCATGACCAAGTATATCAGCTATGAATTACCGTCGTGACATCACGTTAGACTGCCAATATCGCTTAATCCATTGACGTATGTGTGACTCAGAAAAGAAGCATGTCAAAGGTGAAGCCTTAAGTGACCCTTCTTTTCTTAGTAAATCATTTTGGGAAACAGAACATTGATGAAAGTCTTCTATCGAGATGATCACGTAATCGCTTAGGTAAACATACACGAGCAATGATATTAGCAAGAATATCATTTCGTTCATAGAACGAAAACTTTTTTTGGGTGATGGAAAATAGTGGTTATTTGCTGTTAAATACTGAAGAAGTTGTTTGTTTATACGCATTCATAAAGCTGTTAGACCTTGACGGCGTGCTTGTTCATTCCGCGTGACACTGGTAATGAAGAAACACAAAGTTAGAGCTGGTGATGTGGGAGTAAGTTCTTGTCTCTGCTTACTTGTTAATTTATTTCAGGCTATTCAGGCATCTGAGTCCTTTGCGGTAATTTCAGAGGACAAGAAACCTACTTTGGATTGCAGCCAATGGCCATTATTGTTAAAAGTAGGTATTTCATAACCACCCCTCAGACTCAGAATGTTCATCTTATGAACGTACGCGAGTGCCATTTTGAGGCCGATACAACAGGTTACTCTCCTTTACACAGACCTCTGGATGAATACATCAAGTTTGTCTGAACCATCTCTCTAACTTTTAAGGAGTGGAGTTATCAACCTCGACAAGCCATGCAACCCATCGTCGCATGAAGTTGTTGCGTGGGTGAAACGGGCCCTTGGAGTCAACAAAACTGGTCATAGTGGCACTTTAGATCCCAAAGTTTCAGGTATGGCAATTTCACTCTTAGTGGCTCAGGCTGTCTTATTGTCTGTATCGACCGTGCTACTAGGCTAGTGAAGTCTCAGCAAAGTGCTGGTAAGGAGTATGTGTGTATATTTAGACTTCACGAGTCCGTGGACGAGATCAAAAAAATACAAAAAGTAAGCGGTTTCTAAACTTGTCAGCATTTTTGCATCTCGGTTGACGCAAGACTGACCTTTGTCCCTTATTGTTCGTCTATAGGCTGTAGAAGGGCTAACTGGAGCATTATTCCAGAGACCCCCACTAGTTGCTGCTGTTAAGCGCCAACTCAGAGTTCGTACAATATACGAGTGTAAACTGTTAGAGTATGAAAAAAGTAAAAATTTGGGTAAGTCTTGTGATCCTGCAACACTAAATTTAGGGTTAATAATGGTGCGCTGTGAGGCTGGAACGTATGTTCGGACGCTTTGCGTGCATTTGGGCTTGCTTCTAGGTTGTGGAGGTGTTATGGAGGAACTTAGGCGGTCGAAAACTGGTTTTATGTCTGAAAGGGTATGTCCAATCAAAGTCCTTCATATTGCAGGACAACCTGGTCACTATGCATGACATACTAGATGCCAAGTGGCTTTATGACAATAGGCGAGATGAGACTTATTTGCGTCGTGTTATAATGCCTCTTGAAAAGCTGCTAATCAAGCACAAACGAATTATGCTTAAGGATACTGCCGTAAGTTCCTTTACGTATAGAAGCATGTGTAGATTAGGTGTGCGCTATTTGCTTCGGTGCGAAACTTATGTTGCCTGGCGTACTCCGTTACGACAACGACATCAATGTCAACGATGAAATAGTCTTGATGACTACCAAAGGCGAAGCCGTAGCTCTTGGTAGGTCGTTTCAGACTAACATTAACTTCAAGCTGTCGCACTAATGACTACTGCAACAATCGCGACGTGTGACCATGGATTAGTCGCAAAACTGAAAAGAGTAATAATGGAGCGTGATCTCTATCCTCGCCAGTGGGGTCGTGGTCCTGTTTCCATGGAAAGGAAAAAACTTGTTGCCCAAGGTTTACTTAAAAAGTTTGCCAAATCTGACGGTGTGACAAATAACCCGAACTCTGTTGGGTAAGTGGTCAATGTTTGATAACGCGTACTTCAGATCCAAAACCAAAATGGAAGTAAGTGAGGCTGGGGAAGCTGTAACGTAAGTTCACTATTTATCTTCGATATTTTTGATAGACGGCGAATTAAAGCACCAAATCCTTCCGACTCAAGTGACGATGAAATGACAAGGTACGTTTAGAATACAATGGCTATGATGATCAAGCATATGTCTGTTTCAATTGATGACGCTATTATCTGAATGTCGCTTCGTTTTTTATCCATCCGAACTAAGTCGGGTTTTTTCTTACATTTCAGCAAAAATTTGAACGATCACGACGGGTGAGTTTCACTAATATCGTTAATGATGAACAAGCATATGTCTGCTCATATTGATGACATTTCTTTCTGATTGTATTCTACTAGTATGGTTATCTTGCTCTTGTTCTTTTCCGTTACAGTCAGGATACGGGAGCTGAAGAATCATCATCCGACGACAGTGACTGACTCTATTTTTCAGAGCTATAAATAAACTGTATATTTTCTCGCAATTGATTGTGTTCTCGTGTGCCTAAATACTGATACTTGAGGACAACAGTCGATGGGCTGACGTAACTTGTGTACAAGAATATTCGTGAAGCATCCCTCTTACTGCGCGTTTATGACTTATAGAATATGACAACTATTCAGATTTGCACGTTTAGAACGTTAACGCATGATATAAGTGGTGTTAATATAAGATGTGTCATCGAAAACACAGCCATTAGCCGATCCCCACTATATTTAAAATATCCAATAAATAAACAATAACCATATTGTCCCCAATGCCAGTTTTCTGGAGTTGGTCAAGTCATTTGTTGAATCTCAAACTACTAAGTCAAATTTATGTCAGTGGATGTCGATATCTTGTTATAACGTTAGCGAGTCGAGGTCACATTAACTATATGCTCACTGATTATCATAAAGAGCGAGTTAGGTGATGAATTGTTGCGTTCACTGTTAGATGAAGTAAGGATGGATATCCTTACTAGAAGCCAATCCCGAAAACACCTGCTGGTTTCGTGTTATCTCGCGTTGCAAGGCGATAAATAATCATCATACCGCTGTTGATTTTTTATTGGTACTCACCAAGACGCTTCGTGCGCCATACAGAGGAACGTAGTTTGGCATAATCGGATTTACCTTAGTTCGTTGGTTTAGCATTCAGACGGAACACTGGGATTCCGGTCGTTACACTAATTGCAGTAATTTTAACCCTGTCCCTTGAATTATTCTACTGGCACCGATATCACTGAAAGTCAATATATACGAACAGGACTACATCGTCTATCCAAACTGACTTTCTGGTTTAAATCCAATGTAGTGTCATTATCGGCATTCCTGATGCATCGGTTTTTTCACCACTCGACCATTACTTATCTAGGGATGGATCACTTATACTGTCTATTAGTTAAAATATTAACTACCAGTTAGTGTTATGCGTTTCGATGTGGCTCGCCAAGTAATTTTTCTACTGAATCATGTCTGGGTTTCTTTTTCTCTGAATTAGCCAGGTCGTTTTTTATTTGGCACATATTGTTAACTAATCTAAACATTTTGAAGCCATTTACATGTTATTTCTAAGTCAATTGCTCCTGCTTTGTTTGATTTACCGTTCAGCTTATGGTTACTGTAGGATTCTTTCCAACCTCTTTGTGAACTCTGGTGTGCGATGGCCTTACTCGGTTTGATTCTACTGGGACAATGAACCAACACTGAACCCTTATCACAAGTCGTTCATCAGGCTGAGCGGATTTAAAGCCGAACGGGAGAACACTGGATATTGAATAGTAGATGGAAAGTGTGGAATGAGATTGAGTGTCAACTCTGGAACATAGTTGAGGCGGTATAGCTCGGCCATCCAGAAGTGATCATTGCGACCCCTTCATTTTTATTTCGAGCATATCATTTCATCCGTAAGCTTGATTGTTTTCTTCAAAGTTTCCCAGAAAAATACCCCGAACCGTCTCAATAATATTAGTTAGTTTTTATATATTTATATAATGAGAAAAACGTGCATGACACTCGTGGACTTTTATACAGTTGTATATGTATTTGATTTGTTCTTCGTTGTAATGGGTACGTATTGTGATCGACTCAGAACTGTTTTATCACTACTGACGAATAATTATATCTGAAAACGAAGAATAGATGAATGAACGTTATAACCGAGTAAATATTTTAAAATTATACTTTGAGGTATACAGTTGGTAAAATGTATGGATCTCCTAATAATATGCTGGGCCTACAAATCTATTGTCGTGACTGGAGTTTCCAAATAAATAAAAACAGTGGATGCAATATTTCAACTTCAAGAGAGTAGTGATAAAGGTAGTTTTCAGGACTCAGTGTTTTATTGAGATAGTGCTGCAAATATTTTTTCAAATTCCCTGGTACGACCGAGAGTGGGAAGAGTCTGCTCTCCCTCTCGAAATGCTCTCACATGGCCATGCGTATATAGCCTCTGCCAGGGAAGTCCTACTCACTGCCTTCTCGTGGCTGGGGTGTTGTTTACGAAAATGAGAGGACGAACAGCGAATGTCCGGCGCTTTAACCGGATCCCGAACCAAACCAATGGTGCACATGGGCTCCAGTATCCTGCGGGAATAAATGGTATATGAACCAATTGTTGGTCGCCGGCTTCCACGGGACTGCATCTACATACGATACCCCACTGCCTTATGGGTCAGACCTCCGGGGAGTGGCCCCCTAAGAAAACCACCTGCTTCGGTTTGGGCACCCGAACAGTATCGCAGCCCTCACACATATCGAATGAGATTTGTGTGGCGCATATGTATTTGGTCCCTCCTTGAACTAATATTTATGTGTTAAAATAAATAATTTTTTCAAACAGGAGTGGATTGTTTCAGCTGTTCAAACAACTGTTAGATTGTGTTTCATCACGTCAGAAGTTCGAATATTTAAAAGTATTTTTACTATTTAAGGCTGTATAAAGAAAATCATGTAGTGACTAAGAATCTCGTTGCTCATGCTGGACGTCCTAAAGAGTAACACGGCAAACGCTGTCAACACACACTTCGGTATCTGCAGTCTACATCGTGACAGTAGGAGTTCCGGATAATCATCGGGGTTGAAAACACTGCCGAATGATATCTTCGTGGTTATCGAAAATTGCAGTAACACTTATGTTTGTTACCGTTTTTTTCTTTGTAACCAGCATCCCTTATAAGGCGAGTGTTATCTAGATATGTAGGTTTTATTTGTTGTGTTACTTAAAAAGTGCATTGATTGTAGAATTTACAGTCTGTACCATTAAGATGTGCATCACTCTCAGGTTATCTCGAGACCAGATCATCTATCCATATAAAGTTAAAATCGGAATATGAAATATCCATGGATAGGATGTGCATATCTTTGCGATTTTTAATGGTTGTACATAGCCTGCTTGACAGTTCACTGCGTTAGTACAACGGTAGCCCGGTTTACAACGTGAATTATCATAAAATTAGCCTTATTTATTTGTATCAGAAGGGTCTTTGTAGATTTTAAAGTAATTTCCTTGGTTAAGATCATAGGTCGATTGAAGCTAGACCATCATGAAAAACCCGTAAGCACTGGATGGCCGTTTCATCCTATTGTGGGACTCCTCGGCAGTGCGCATCCACGATCCCACCTCGCGAGATTCAAATCCAGAACCTATCAGTTTCGCGCGCGAGCGCTTAACCACTAGACCACTGAGCCGACATCCAACGATGTTAAGGTCTAATTTCAACCAATCCACTGAATTGAGCGACACATCCACCATTGTCTTCAGTGAGTTAGTATCTTACAACAGACTCAGTTGAGCTCCACTGGTCACTGTTTCTCATTAGAACTCCAGGAAATAGCTCTCGAAGCCAGTCACCCGTGAGCATATGTCAATTAATATCAGAAGGGTTTTCTGGATATTATAGTAGTTTCAATGGTGTCAATTGATTTATGTCATCATAAATGAATTCATAGAAAACATTTATTCCCGACGCTGGAAAAACAGTCGGGGTTTTATGGCATTCGGGTAAATGAAATTTTTTTTAGCTTATTATCACATAGCGATTATGCTGGAGATAGTTTTGTGTTAATTTTGAAGACAAAAATTAACTCTAGTAAGTACCAAACATTTGATTTTATGATATATGTAAAACAACCTACGGTAGGGTCATTGTAGCGCGTTTGGACGTAAATAATCAAGAATTCGCAATCACTATTTACATGGACTGAGCTAAGGGAACAGAGGAACATTGCCGTGCGTTATCATCTATTTTTTTATCCCCTATCAAATGTAAAATCAACGGCTGTGACACATTTTCAAGCGAAATTGAAAACGTATCGCTTTCCGTATCACACATGTTGAATTATCTCTCAGATAAGCGATTCAAACAGATCATATGTTGTTTCCTGTCAATACTTCGTTTGAGTACCGAAGTAGTGATGCGGCGGCTTGCCAACACACTCCATGTCTGGTGTTAGACTGTGCTGCTTCACTTAATTCAGTCAGAAGAACCGGGTAACATCACTGATATTTTTACAATAGTGTAACTCCTCTCTGTACACTCATATATTTACTTGATTAGTGTTGAATACCACTGAAATTTGTCTAATAAATTTGAAAAGTGATTTATTGTGGCGACGGACTGCAAGTATAATACCATTTACTTAGATTAGTTGATAAAAATGGAGTTAGATATAGACATTTAACCAGTTTCCTTTCAGTCTTATTGATGATAGTATGCTTGCTTATAACGCAAGCGTCTGTCTTCGTACATTAGATAAACTAATAACTGAGAGGAACATAGCTAACTGTTTTTCTGACTATATTTTTTTTTGTGGTCATGTAGGATAATTCAGTCGGGTGGAAAATTATTCATTCAGTAATTACGTTTTGTTTAACTGCTGTAACGTATATGTAAATTTGCTAACTTATTTACAAAGAAAGTCCTAAAATAGTAACTGTTATAAAATATCTTACCATTCAGTCGCCTGTTCAGACGCTCAAGGGATTTGATTAACCGCTCCTCTTCTATTGACAATGCTGACGGTATTTCAGGTCTTCCTTCAAAATTCAACAGTAAAATAAATTATTCGAGAAAGATGTTCTAGGTGTTAAGTCAAAGGAAACTTTACAAAAGGCTAATACGAACTAAAATTTTAAATAAGGTGAGTAAAGATGATGATTTACTTTTGAGAGGACCATTTATATTTAATTAGTATGTTCGCGTAGGTAGATAACAACTTTATTTTAGTCCCATAGATCGAACACTTTTAATTTTAACGTGCGTCTGCGAGAGGAGGAATCTCGGTATATAAAGATGATTTTGATTTCTATAAAACTAGCTGTTGAATAATAGGGTCTTCATTGTGCAAGAAAATTCTAAAATGTCATTGGTTCCTAAAGTTTAACGTGAAAAATGTGCTGTTTTAAAACAATTCTAATGTTTAGGTATGTTAGTTCTCAAAATAAATATAATTTCCAAAACAAAAAAGTGTCCTTTAAAGTTCCTTTTTCGATTGAG